CATGCTTAGTGTGTGCCTATTTATTTGTGCATGAGTAGTTGCATATATGTATGTTTGGTGCTGCGGACGCACAGGTAAGTGTCGGGTAAGTTATAGTTTATAGTTGCGACGTAGTAGTTATGTGATATGCATAAACAGCTCATGACCTACACCCCCGGTGTTGGTGCTTCTGCCCAGAGTAAGGCACAGTCCTTTACGTGATGTTCACCTCCCGCACCACACGTTTATCTTGGATCCAAGTTAGGTGCATAGTCCTGTTGTAGAGACCAATATAGGTGGTTCCGACTCGTAGGTGACCTGCGATTATTCGTCCAGTCTTCAAGTGATCATAGCACTTGAGCGTATTTATTTACACCCAGTCCTATTATACAGACCACTATAGGTGGTTCCGACTCGTGTGCAGGTATAGTTAGTGAGTTGGGATTTGAGCTCTAAATTCAGCCATATAGGTCACGTTAGGTGACTCCGGCTGACAGGTTACTTGCCTTGATTGACATTACTTGGGTTGCTTACATTTTATGTGGAGGCATTCGACATGGCATATTTTTTAAAATGTTTTCGATATATGTGTATATTCTATTTTCTGGGAAATTATACAGGTTTTACGGCGAGGGGTTAAAACTTTTGATAATGAAATGATTTTGAAAAGCTTTGTTTTTGCCCACTCACACTTTCTGTTTTGCGCCCCTCCAGGTTCTAGTTTGGATTGCTCTTTTGGTGGCTTACGAGGAATCCACGACATATCTGACAGATTATCACCAATGTAGGACCACCTCTAAGTGTGTTTAGTTAGTATTCTTCTTCTGGACTGCACTTAGGCTTTCTGTGCTCTGAATATTGTTTGTCACACTTACACTTGCACTTGTACGTTAACTACATTGTTTGGTAGTTTTGTTTTTATTTATTCGTACTTTTATTCTTATATTTTGCTTCCGCACTGTGCACATGGTTACGTCACCCTTATGTGACGGCCAGCACGCCTTGATTTCAATCGGGGTGTGTCATAAACGTAGTTTTGTTTTAAAATTTATGTTGTAACTTTAATTCATTAGAATACAATAAAAAAGAAATATTACAAATGTCAGGAAGTCCTACTTAAACTTGTTTTAGAGGGAGTTTGAATACGGTATTTATGGATACATAGATAGCGCATTTACATGTTTTGCCTACAGTTTAAAGGCAGAAGAAAAAGGCAAAAGAAATGTGGCCATAGGAAGTTTCTCAAATAATGCGAATCATGGATCATGAATTCATCAATTGAAAGAGTTTCATACATATTTTTTCTCAACTCACACTGATAATTTTTTTTTTTTTTGTAAAATACAATACAAACTACATTTCTTCTCTAAACTATACTAAAAGAAGGCGAGAAGGTTAAACGAGAAAGTCCTAATACATTTTCTTTTGCATAAATACATTAGGTTAATTGCCTATTAGAGTGCATGCTCCAATCCCCATGCATTTGAGTTCAAATTCTCTTTCATGTAAATTAGAGTACTATTGAAAGCCAAAAGAAAAACAACAATGAACTACTTGAACAAAATGTGTTAATAGGACCCATATAGTGAAGAAAATTGCAAGACTCATTAATTTTTAAAATTAAAAAATGCTACTCGTACTACTTATTTGTATAATCTCTCTAATAGAGATGAGACTCACATTCGTTAGCAGACTCTATCTCTATTAGACCATCTCCAACCCTTGGGATAAAACTTAAAAATCTAAGCCAGAAAATTTTAAGTCATAACTCAGAAACTGTTTTTCTCCTCCAACCCTTGACCGTCTCCAACCCTTGGGCTAAAAGCCAAATTTTTTAGCTCGGAAAATTTAGCTTTTAGCCCAGAAACAGCTTTTTTGCTCCAACCTTTTTGACCTAAAATTTTAGCCATAGATTATTAAAGAATGAACTTAGACTAATTTTTCTTAAATTTACTTTTAAAAATTTTTTTTTATGTAAACTATCATAAATTAATTTTATGAACATTTTAATCTAAAAATATATAAATTCCGATAAATATTGAAAAATCACTAAATTAATACATGAAACTCATGAAACACTATGGAAGAATATGAAAATCATGATAGAGATGTATAAACACAAAATACATAAAACACACAAGACACATGTGAAGCACATACAAACCACATGTGAAGGACATACAAAACACATCATAGAGATGAAGCACACACAGAACACATGTGAAACACATGACACACACGAAACACATACAAAACACATGATAGAAAATACAGAACACATGTGAAACACAATGTGTCCACTCATCTGATCTTAGGACTTCCCTTTTCTCTTTGCTTCCTTTTGCTTATCTCTTCCCAAGGGCCTTGCAAAAAAAGAGTTGGGGTCATTTCATTGACACCTTCATCTCTGGCATTTGTTGGTGTAGCTTCATGTTGAAATAATCTTCCCATTGTTGGTCCGCATCGGTTCCCCACCTCGGACAATCCTTGAGGACGTCCCAAGCATGTTGCAACTTAAAAACTTGATTTTTTTGGTGTTACTCTTGTCTTGTAAATTTCCATTGTTTTGTCACCCTATGCAAAAAATACAAAAAATAAATAGTTGCAAAATAATATTATGTACATGACAAATAAAATATCAACAAAAAAACTCACAATTTCTATGGCGCTTTTTCCACTAGCCATGCTAACCACGGCTCTCTCCAAGCTTCCATTGTGACATCCCACATCGCTCAGGGGAGTGATCCTTATATGTATATTCCCATCCCTACCTAGCACGAGGCCTTTTGGGAGCTCATTGGCTTCGGGTTCCATGGGAACTCCGAAGTTAAGCGAGTAGCGCGCAAAAGCATTCCCAGGATGGGTGACCCATTGGGAAGTTCTCGTATGAGTTCCCAGAAACAAAACCGTGAAGGCGTGGTTGGGGCTCAAAGCGGACAATATCGTACTGCGGTGGAGTCGGGCCCGGGAAGTGGTCCCGCCCGGGCGGGGATGTGACAATTTGGTATCAGAGCCTAACCCTGGCCGTGGTGTGCCGACGAGGACGTCGGGCCCCTAAGGGGGGTGGATTGTGACATCCCATATCGCCCAGGGGAGTGATCCTTATATGTATATTCCCATCCTTACCTAGCACGAGGCCTTTTGAGAGCTCATTGGCTTCGGGTTCCATGGGAACTCCGAAGTTAAGCGTGTAGCGCGCGAGAGCATTCCCAGGATGGGTAACCCATCGGGAAGTTCTCGTGTGAGTTCCCAAAAACAAAACCGTGAAGGCGTGGTTGGGGTCCAAAGCGAACAATATCGTGCTGCGATGGAGTCGGGCTCGGGAAGTGGTCCCGCCTGGGCCGAGATGTGACATCCCTTCCATAAAGTGCATGCTTTGTTGATAGTTTTCCACCAATCCTAAACACCACCACCTTCCCTCCCGCCGCCATTGCAGTTTTCATGAAACTTTTCAATGATTTTATCCCACAAAACCTTTTTTATTTTGATTCGCGCCAACTGGACCATCTTCACTAACAAAAACTCATGCCAAGCATAAGGCAACATCTTCCTCACATGTCCAATTACGACCTCTAATATGCTCTCTTGCCATCTTGAAAAATTTGGAAATGGAAAGAAATGGTAGAAAGAAAAATTGGAAGAATTGTAGGAGAAAAGTGAGTTTTGTGTGGATGTTTGAACAAATACATAGGTATTTATAGAGTTTTTTTTGGTGAATTTTGAGTTAAATAATTTTTTTTAATTATTTTAGCCATTGGATTTAAATTTGGGTCGTTAGATCTTTTTTTTTTTTACCGTTAGATTTTATTATATTCAATTTCAGCCGTTACATTCAATGTATTTTAAAATAACATTTAAAAAAAAATTGAATATGGATCGTTGGATCAACCAACGATCCAAAAATGTCAGCCGTTGGGGTCATAATGGTGGTCGACAACGACCCTGACATTGGATCCTACCTTGTCGGGCGCTGAAGGCGTCAACCCGCATGGGGCGAGTTGAGTTTGTGACTGGGCTGAGATTGGGCTGGGCTTGGGCGAATCCACGCACATGTGGGCTAAATCTTGGGGGGAATTTGGCTTGGATATAGCTTTTAGCATTAATAAATTGGGTAATTTAGCCTCTAGCTCAGGGTTAGGTTTGGTCTCATGGCTTAAAATTTTAGCCCAAGATTATTGAATAATATTTTAGCCTAATTTTTTTTTCTGTAACTTTTTTGAAAATAAAATTTATGTAGATTATCCTAATTTAAAAATATTTAAATTCCGATAAGTAATTAAAAATCATATAAATGCATAGGTATTTATAAAGTTTCAAGTTGAATTTGATTTAAATAATTTTCTTAAATTATTTTAGACGGTATATTTAATTTTGGCCGTTAAATCTTTTCTTTTTTTATCATTAGATTTGATCTCATTTGATCATAGTCGTTAGATTATAAGTAAAAAACAAAAAAATGTTTGAAATATGGCAGTTTGGCGGGTTTAGAATAATTTAAGTCAAACTTAAATCCTAAGGGAAATTTAGCCTAGGGATATATTTTCTCTCAAACGTTTATTTTAGCCCAATGATTGAAGATGGTATGGGAGGCATTTAAAGCTTACAGGTGAACTATAAAATAAATTAATAAAAAAGAAAAAAAAAAAAAAAAAAACACTCGAACAATGCATGCAGCAAGCAAATCATTCTCACACGTAACCTAAGTCGTAAGTACTGCAGATAGTGTTGTTTTCACCTGCGGAGTCCACTCGGATTCGAATCCTCTCCTTTCAAACCAAACCCCACTGTCTGTCTCCATTCGGAAAACCAAGGAAAAAAAAATTAAAAAAATCCAACAATCCTTTCACTCTCACCTCCATGTTCCAATATCCGACATTTTCCCGCACACTCGAAACAAAACCTAAGAAATCCCCGCACTTTCCCACCCATTTTCTCTCATTTTCCCATTAACCAAACAGCACATGTTTATCTTCTCAGGCTATATGCAGAGCCTAAACCACCCATTCCACTTCAAATCCTCAAAAACCCAGCAAAACCCAGAAACCAAAAACTGAAAATGTTTCAAAATTTCCCACTCACCCACTAAAATCTCCATACTTTCTCTCCCATTTTCCCACTCTTTCCCACAAACCGAACATGCATTATTTCCTTCTCTCCCTTCTCCTCCCCCTCCTCCTCCTCCTCCCCCTCTGTATCTCCTCGCTCACCGAGCTCCCTGCTCTCATGGCAATGAAGGCCTCTCTGGACCCACGAAACCAATTCTTGACGTCATGGACGCCGCACGCGGACCCCTGCGGCGGCGCTTTTGAAGGCGTGGCTTGCAACGAGCAGGGCCGTGTGACTAATATCTCTCTGCAAGGGAAGGGTCTTTGGGGCCAGATTCCCCCAGCTGTTGGCGGCCTGAGGAACCTCACTGGGCTGTACCTTCACTTCAATGCTTTGACTGGGAAGATCCCAAAGCAGATTGCTGATTTGAACCAGCTTGCCGATTTGTACCTCAATGTGAACAATCTGTCTGGTGCAATTCCTCGTGAGATTGGTAAAATGCCCAATTTGCAAGGTGGGTTTTTGGTTTTTTGTTGAAAATTTGAAGTTTTGTGCTTATTTGAGATTGAATGTTCACATTTTTGTTGACAAGACGATATTTTAAACTACTATTATTTACGGAGAGTGAGATTCGAACTTGGCCACAAGGGTGCTTGTGTGAGATTGAATGTTCACATTAGTAGTGTTAATTATTTATTTTAACAAGCGATATTCTAAACTACACTCCAATTTACGATGAGTGAGATTCGAAGTGCAAGAGTGCTTGTGTGGGATTAAATGTCTAAGAATTTCTTGTTCTGCCCTTTTTTTGTAAAGAAAACGTAAAGCTTTTTGATAAATGCATAAAGAGGCACTGAAGGCTTTTCTGCTTTGCATCTCATGTGGTGAAAAGTGGCTGCATTGAAAGCTTTTGCTCACCGAATTATTGCGTATGGATTTCTGGGTTTTTTTTTTTAATCCCTGAAATTTATTGGTTGAAATTGGTGCATTGATCAATTTATATTTCTTAAATTTTTATACTGGTTTAGGTTTGATCTGGTTTCTCATTTACATTTACCTGGTCAATTCTATCAAAGTTCAGCTTCTTAGATTAAAGTAAAGTAAAAACTGGATGCAGTTAAAAGCTTTAATTTTGTAAGTTGTAATTTAAATTTTTTCCTAGATGATATAATGTGCAATAAACTTTGGAGGTTTCGTTAACTTTAATGATTTTCTTTTCTGTATTCAAGAAATGAACTTAAACAGTCCGGCGATCTAGCTAAAAAATGGAGGGAGGACAAGAAACAGGTTTTATTGTTTTCTAAAGGTTTTATTTATTTGGTGCTATGGCTGTGCTACTCTGTTAGTCATACATTTTCTAATACGAAGATCTCTAGTTCAAATTCCCGCTCTCGTTTCCCCTTGATCTAAGTATTTTCGAATTTATTTACTATTTCTGAAAGACGGTTTATCTGTAGTTTGATACTGCAAGGAGAATCTACAGAAGCTATTTTTTCCGAGACCTCTTTGAATAAATGAATTGCTTTGTCCAACGAATCTTTATTCGAAATGATTCTATAGTTTGAATAGCATCGAAGTCTCAGGGCTATTGGTAACTTGGTGATTAAACATATTATTTCAACCTGAGTTTCTCTTTGTGTGGACTTTGCAGTTTTGCAGTTGTGTTACAACAAGTTGACTGGGGGAATACCTACAGAATTAGGGCAGCTTAAAAGGCTTAGTGTTCTTGCAGTGCAATCCAATCAGTTAACGGGGGCAATTCCTGCAAGTTTGGGTGAGTTGGGGACGCTAACAAGGTTGGATTTGAGCTTTAATAGCTTTTTTGGTCCTATTCCAGCAAAATTATCTGATGCTTCTATGCTAGAAGTCCTTGATGTTCGAAGCAATACTCTCTCAGGAAATATACCTCCAGGTAAAATGTTGTTTGTTTTCTTTCTGCGGTTTTCTCTGTAAGAATTATAATTTGACCCTTTTGCATTTTCGAATGAAAATACAGCTCTAAAGAGACTTAATGAAGGATTCCAATACGAAAACAACCCGAACTTATGTGGGGTTGGGTTTTCTGGTTTAGAACCATGCACAGCTACTGCTCGGAACCCAAACATGCCACAACCATTTGAACCTAGTAACTTTTCTGGAAAAGGTCTTCCAGACTCATCTACTCCAAAAGAAATCCCCGAGACAGCAAATATTCATTCCAATTGTAGCCAAACCCACTGTTCAGAAGCATCAAATTCCCCAGAAATTGGTTTAGTCTTTGGGGTGATTGGAGTTGTTGTTGCTTTAACAGTATCTGGGCTCTTCTTGTTCTGCTGGTATCGTCGACAAAAGCAGAAGATTGGGAGTACTTTTGACTCTTCTGATAGCAGGCTTAGTACTGACCAAGCAAAGGAAGTTCACAAGAAGAGTGTGTCTCCTCTCATCAATCTGGAGTATTCTAACGGGTGGGATCCATTGGCTAGAGGCAGCAGTGGGTACTCTCAAGAAGTTCTTGAGAGTTTTATGATAAATTTAGAAGAAGTGGAACGTGCAACTCAAAGCTTTTCGGAAGTCAATCTGTTGCGGAAGGGTAATTTTTCTGCCATCTATAAGGGGATCCTAAGAGACGGATCAGTTGTTACTATAAACTGCATTAGCAAGACAAGCTGTAAGCCCGACGAAGCTGAATTTTTGAAGGGGTTGAAGATATTGACATCATTAAAACATGAGAATCTTGTTAGGTTGAGAGGCTTTTGCTGCTCAAAAGGCAGGGGAGAGTGGTTTCTTATCTATGATTTTATCCCAAATGAAAGTCTGTTACAGTATCTCGATATTAAGGATGGCAGTGCCGAGGCTCTTGAATGGTCAACCAGAGTATCTATAATCAATGGGATCGCTAAAGGTCAGTGTATATCTTGCCAATGAAGCTGCTGTCAATGTTCTTTCTTTATTTTGTTTTTTTCGTTCTTCTAATACTTTGGAGACTGCCAACTCATGTACAAGTAGTGAATTTGACATTTATATACTGTACTGTGAAATTTACTTGGCATATGCTGAAGTTTCCCTTTTAATTTTTTGGATATGCTGAATATTTGATATATTTTGGAGGCAGGTATTGGATATTTGCATGGAAATGCAGGCAATAAACCTGCTATAGTTCATCAGACCATATCAGCTGAGAAGGTGCTTATTGACTCCCACTATAACCCCTTACTATCGGAATCGGGTTTGCACAAACTCCTAGCAGATGATATTGTCTTCTCCATGCTCAAAGTCAGTGCTGCCATGGGGTACCTGGCTCCCGAGTACACCACCACTGGTCGCTTCACTTCAAAGAGTGACATTTATGCATTTGGTATGATTGTGTTTCAACTCCTTTGTGGAAAACGTAAAATCACCCAGGTGACTCGCCAAGGTGCTGAGGCCGGCAGATTTGAAGATTTTATTGATGCAAACCTTGAGGGAAAGTTTTCGGAATCTGAGGCAAGTAAACTTGGAAGACTTGCTCTTCTTTGCACGCACGAGTCTCCCATTTACAGGCCACCAATAGAAAATGTGGTCAAAGAGCTCAGCGAGTTCAATTGCACTTAGAAGCTATTGTTTTACAATGTTTCCTTCTAAAACTCAACTCTGTAAAATTGTAAATGGAAGCAAACTTAACTCCTGGTATTGTATATTTGCATGCCACCCTTGATATTTACAAACTGCCTTTTTTCAGATTTTGCGCCATTTAGGAGAAAACAGTAAGTCCATAGCAGAACTAATTAAACATGTTCACATATGTGGATTAGGCCAATTGGTCGAGGCGCTGTGAATGTCCTCTCGCATTCAAGTTTGAACACTCCTCTCTGAGAATTATGAGAAGGGAAGTGTTATTAGCACTTCAAAATTTTCATTTTACATTCCTTATAAGTGTATTTTTCTTTCCTAATATAGAAAGTTTAGAGTATAGAATGAGATTTTTGGAATGCTAATAACAATTCCCTTATGAGAATTATAGTAATGTATAACACCGTCTACTTAAATTTAAACATGTTGCAACCCACTTGAGGAAAGCAACTTACATCTGTAAAATCTAAAAGCTATAGCTAGTGGGGTCCTTTGATGTTGAAATTTTTAGGGTTGGTAGCTAACATGTCAAGAAAGATCGTGTCAAAATTTCAGAGTGAACGGACGACTTTTCGTGGGTCTAAAAAATACAGAAATTTAAGTTAGGTTGCGGAGAAGGGTTCCTAGACTAGTGCGGAGAAACTTAAGCTGTAATTCTAGACAGAGTAATGCTTAATCTTTTCATTTGGAGATATAATAAATTCAAGTATATATATTTTTGGGGCTTTTAGATCCAGGTCCAAAAATGTAGAGTGTTTTTAGGAGTGAGTCCAGTTATCTAATTATTTGTTTTTATTTCTTTTATACTCATTTTATATTTTCTAAAAATATTAAAAATCAATTAAAATCTTCTAATATTATGCATTTTCCAACTCCAAAAGAATATATTTAATATCTTATAACAAAAAAGCTAATATACTAACCTAAATTTATCTACAAAACATTCTACTCTAACTCAAGTAACAAATATATGAATGTATATAATACCTATACGTGAGATATGAAACCTAATTAAAATGTAGAATAAACATAACATACCTACAAGTAAGACACATTAATCTGTGACAGGTTGATTATAAAAAAAGAATCTGTCATATAGGTATATAAATATAATTAACCTGTGATATAGGTTGATTATAAAAATTAAAAATAAAATCTATAAATGGGGTTTAAAGTAGGAGGAAGAACGAGAAATAACAAAAAGATAAATAAAAAGAAATAAGCAAAGAGATAATTGGGAAGAAATTTGATTTTTATAATAAATCTTATCATGGAACAGATAACTATTGATAATTAAATAATTAAATATAACAAATTGGACTTATTTTAATAAACTGGACTATTCCTACAATTGGCTCAAAAAATTGGACTTATATCAAGTTTCCTCTATATTTTTTATGATTTCATTCTAACCCTTTTAATTTAGATTAGAATTGGCGTATTGTAACAGAGCTGTGAGTGTGATATTTGAACCCTAAGAGTATCCTCAATAGGGGCTTTACTCTCCTTGAGGTTACTCGTCACATCTTGGCTCGGGCCCCCACCACATCCCGGGCTTGACTCTACCGTAGCATGCCCTTACAGTCACCCATCCTAGGATTGCTCTTGCACGAACTCGCTTAATTTCGGAGTTCCGATGGAACCCGAAGCCAGTGAGCTCCCTAAAGGCCTTGTGCTAGATAGAGATGGGAATATACATATAAGGCTTACAGGATCCACTTCCCTAGGTAATGTGGGATGTTACACTACTACATTCATAGCTTTAGTGAAAAATTTCATCCTTAATAGGCCGAAAAATAGAGCTACATACATCATATGGGCTAGCAACTTCATTCCTTAAATAGCAAAAATTAAGTTACACCTAACCCTGTATGGCTGGGACCACACCAAACTGAGGGCCCAATCTTGGTTTTTTTTTTTTTTTTTTTTTTTTTAAGTTTAGAAATGGGTTGACCATATTTTTAATGGGAATTTCTCATATATATAACCAATATTTACTCTCTAATTTCATAAATGTCAATTTTAACAAAAACTATCAATTATAGCAAAAAGCATGCTTAAATAGACCAAATTGCCCTAAAAATTAAAATCAAATTACACTACACCTAAAATCGTTGGAGTTCTCTTTCATTCAAACTCACAATAAGAATACGTACTTGTCATCAGACCACCCATCGCCACAACCCTCTCCCCTTCTGGCCTCCACTTATCCTTCTCCTTCATATTTATTTGAAATGTTCAATTAAAATAATTAAAATAATAATTAAATTTTATCTTATACCTTCGGTATGCCATGAAAACCTAACAAATTAAAAGAAAATATATTGGCAAAGTTGAAGGAGGGTCTGGCTAAAGGGAGCAAGGATGACATGTTGCCATCTGTTCACCGATCATCAGGAGCTTTACCTTTTGTCAAAAGCCTATCACAATTGCATGTAAACAAACAAATTTCAATTTTTATTGCAAAACCAAAATGAAAAAAAAAAAAAAAAAGAAACAAAAAACAAAAGAGCATTTCTGATTGATTGGGAGGTGGGGATGAGATCGTGAGGTGACAATACCAAGTTTTCTTGGAAATGAATTCAGGTTCATTCATAAACAGGTGGAATTGTCATAATTTTATCTAACAGTGCTTAGATTTAGGGTCATGTTTGTTATTAACTTCGAGGGTATTAGGTTTATTCTAGTGAAATTTTAGATATATTTGATAGTTTTTATTAAAATTGACATTTATGAAATTGGAGTGTAAATTTTGGCTATATGTGATAAATTCTCTTTTTTAATTCCAAGATATGATTTTAAGGATTTATTTTTTAACCATTTGTTTGATTAAGAATGTGACATCCCACATCGCCCAGGAGAGTGATCCTTATATGTATATTCTCATCCCTACCTAGCACGAGGCCTTTTGGGAGCTCACTGGCTTCGGGTTCCATGGGAACTCAAAAGTTAAGCGAGTAGTGCGCGAGAGCATTCCCAGGATGGGTGACCCATCGGGAAGTTCTCGTGTGAGTTCCCAGAAACAAAACCGTGAGGACGTGGTCGGAGCCCAAAACGGATAATATCGTGCTACGGTGGTGGAGCGGGCCCGGGAAATGGTGCGCCCCGGGCCGGGATGTGACAAATTGGTATCAGAGCCTCACCCTGGCCGTGGTGTGCCGACGAGGACGTTGGGCCCCTAAGGGGGGTGGATTGTGACATCCCACATCGTCCAGGGGAGTGATCCTTATATGTATATTCCCATCCCTACCTAGCACGAGGCCTTTTGGGAGCTCACTGGCTTCGGGTTCCATGGGAGCTCAGAAGTTAAGCGAGTAGTGCGCGAGAGCATTCCCAGGATGGGTGACCCATCGGGAAGTTCTCGTGTGAGTTCCCAGAAACAAAACCGTGAGGGCGTGGTCGGGGCCCAAAGCGGACAATATAGTGCTACGGTGGTGGAGCGGGCCCGTGAAGTGGTGCGCCCCGGGCCAGGATGTGACAAAGAAAACATAAATAAATAACCATTTTTTTTCTTATTGATTAAGAAAAAAAAATATTGTGCTTTGTGTTTAATTTTCTAGATTGAAAAGTACATAAAAAAAATTATGAAATTTAATATTGGTAGTTTAGAGACTTAAACCGAAAACATAACTAAACAACAGACTTGAATTGTAAGGCATTACAATTTTGTTATTTGAAAGTATAAACAATTGAATACCATAGTTGTTATGAAATCAAATCTTATCATGTCTGATTTCGTAGAAACAAACCAACATATGAGATTGAGATTAGAGAACTAATCTAACAATGCTTAAGTAATGAAATCTAACTTCATAAGAATTTGAATTTTTTAGGTTGCAAAGTTCATAAGAAAAATTTAAGATAACAAATTCAAAATTAACTTTAGAAAAATTAAGACAAAAATAAATTTATCAGCGTAATCAAATTACAACATAAACAAATATATAGTCCCATATAAAGGTTAAAAGGTATATAACCTCCCATTAAGAGAGATTCTTTTTTTAAACCCTAAATATTCTTCGAAACTCTAAATTCAATTATATCCACGACTTTCCAGAATTAGGTGGCCAAAAATGGAGAAAATAGCATGTTGGATTTATTTCATTGGACTAGAAAGTTGAAAGTTCTCTTACGTTATATGCCAATATTTTATTATTTATCTGTGAGACCGAGATACACGCAACACATAGGTCCAAATTTAATTTTGGCTAAAGAGCAAGCCCAGTGTTGGGTTTAGCTCGGGGGACGGTGGGGAAAACAAGGGCCCGAAGGCCAGGGAATCAGCTCCAGCGTGTTGGAGCCCGACCCAAGGTAGAGGCCCGAGCTCCAGGTCCGTGGGGGATTGCCAGCCCGAGAGTCCGAGGTGGACGTGACGTCAGGCTGACGCCAGGGTGGCGTCAGCGCAATATTTAATTTTTTTTGTGTTAGGCGCGTGCACCCCACCCGCGCGTGGGGGCGCGTCGCCGACACAAAAATCAGAAAAAAAGAAAGAAAGAAAAAGGTTGTCAGTTACCGTTGGGAAGCCACGTGGCTTCCCACGGTCCGTTAGATCTCAACGGTCACTTAATTTGGACCGTTTGATCTCAACGGTAACAAAAAGAAAAAAAGTCAGATTTAATATCCACCGTTCGATCTGAGATCAACGGTGGATATTAATATTCTTTATAAATAAAAAAAAAAGAAAAAATAGTTTTAAAATTAAGAAAAGTTACCGTTGTGACACGTGGCACAATCTGGAGTGTTGGAATTCAAATTTTTTTATATCCAACGGCAGAGATTAATTAATTGAATAAAAATTTAAAAAAAATTGTAAAAAATTCAAAAAAATTCAAAAAAGAATCTGAAAAATCTGAAAAAAATTGTTTTTACTTTTCTATAAATACATTCTCATTATCATCTACCTTACACAACAATTTCATATTTTCTCAACTACTTTCAATCACATTCCTTTCTTTGTCTCAAAGTTTGAATCCATTTTTTCCAACAAAATTGTCACATCCCGGCCCGGGCCCCCACCACAACCCGGGCCCGATCCACCACCGTAGCACGATATTGTCCGCTTTGGGCCCCGACCACGCCCTCACGGTTTTGTTTTTGGGAACTCACAC